CAGACTTGCCTGAGACTCTGGTCGAGAACAGACTTGCCTGAGACTCTGGTCGAGGACAGACTTGCCTGAGACTCTGGTCGAGGGCAGACTTGCCTGAGACTCTGGTTGAAGACAGACTTGCCTGAGACTCTGGTCGAGGACAGACTTAGTGTCGGTAAGATAGTCGACAGAGGGCAGAGGGAGCCTGGTCATGTATGCCTGCAGGAGCAGGAAGGTCTTGGTGTGAGGGGAGTCGAAGGTGCACGCGTTGACCGGCAGAGGGCACTGCTTGGCCAGCTGCTCGTTGAGGTTGTCTTCATTGTGGCGCACGGGCAGTTCAGCGTACTCGTATGCCAGCGTCAGCAGCAACAAGAGCTTCTCCAGCGAAATGTCGCTAGTGAGGGTCTCCTTAAACAGCTGGATGGTCTTGTGTGAGAGGTAGTAGAAAGAGCTGATCTTGCCCAGCGTTGTAGCCTCAACTGATCGGTTATCTTCACCGAGTTGGACGCAGTATGAATCCTCGAGTTCGGAGATTGCTTTGTCAACCACGTCAGACAAGAACTGATTGATGCGATTCGTAGGGTTGCAGCCTCCTGACGAAGATTCCTCATCGTCTTGCAGGCCATAGTACGACGGGTTCTGGACAAGACGTCTGAAGAAGTACGTCCACGTGAGGTAGTCGAGCGCCTCCTGTTTGCTGCTCACCGTGCCTGCCACGATCTCAGCGTTGAGATGGTCTGGCAGCACCTCGAGAAGATGCGACTCCACAGGGAAAGGTTCATACAAGAATTTCTTGTAGAAATGTTTTTTCTGGTCATGTACGAGGATGACGGCAACGCCTTGGTCGTCGAACTGAGGTCGGCCGGCACGTCCCATCATCTGCAGTACGTCAGTGATGGGGAAGTCGACGTAGCGGCCCGTCTTGCCGTCGAAATATTCCGTGCCTTTGATGATGACGAGATGAGCAGGGAAGTTGACCCCCCAAGCCAGCGTCGCAGTCGTCACCAGAATTTGGATCTTGCGGTTGACGAAGAGCTCTTCGACGAGCCGCCGGTCCTTGTCCACGAGGCCGGCGTGGTGGATGCCCACGCCGAAGGAGAGGCACAGGCGCAGGTTCTCGTCCTTCACCGTAGAAATGAGCTGGTCCAGCTGCACGCAGTCAAAGATTAGGATTACTTTGGTTCTTACTTAGGATTATTTTGGTAGTTACTTAGGATTATTTTGAGTGTGCGAGTAGAAATATGAGCTGAATAAGACGCCCTGTTTGTTTAAGCGAGACCACAAATTTAACGGAAAATGAACAGGTGTTTAAATAGAGTTACGTATTCAGTCAACTGCTGATTGTAGGTGAATGGTATTGAAACATAAGTTATTATTAAAAGCAGTGACAGGGTACGAAAAATCAAATAAGAACAGCAGATAAACTACTCAACAAAGTTTCGCTCATGTGGACCCTGAGCCGAACACCCCATGAAATCCAGTGAAATGCCCCTGAGCCGAATACCCCATGAAATCCCATGAAATACCCATGAAATACCCATGAAATACCCCTGAGCCGAATACCCCATGAAAAACGCAATCCGAAGAAACGGGAAATCAAGAAAACAATGCAACTGAAATCTCCCGATCTCGTAAGGCAACTGGAAAAATCAAGTCACTGCTTGCAGTTGTGTTATCTAGAACACATGCCACCCACAACACCTGCCACCAACACCTGCCACCCACAACACCTGCCACCAACACCTGCCACCCACAACACCTGCCACCCACAACACCTGCCACCCACAACACCTGCCACCCACAACACCTGCCACCCACCTCATGTTCAGGCATGTGCAGCCACTGCTTGGGGTTGTCTTCAGTAACAACGAAGCCCATGAGATCGATGGCAGTGAGACGGGTCTGGCGGCGGGAAGACACGAACACAAGCACGGGTTTGTCGGGTGAGTGCTGGCGGATGGCTTTGAAGGCGGGTTTATTCATGGTCGCCATGCGGGGGCAGTAGTGCTTGCCAGGGAACCCAGCGATGTGCACCTCCAGGGGCACCGGTCTCACGGACGGACGGAAGTTGAACAGCCCAACCTGCTCCGGGAAACAGGGTAATTACCGTTATTTTTTAGGGGTTTTATGGGGTAATTTACTACACCTCCAGGGGCACCGGTCTCACCGATGGACGGAAGTTGAACAGCCCAACCTGCTCTGGGGGAAACAGGGTAATTACCGTTTTTTAGGGGTGATATAGGATTATTTTGAATGTGCATACATATAACATAACATATGAAGACTAGAACAAAGCACATGGCTTGCTGGTACTAACGTTCTTAATGCCGAGCCAGTCGGCGAGGTCCCTGGCGTTGGCCACGGCGGTGCTCAGGCCGACGATGCGGAGCTTCCGTTGCGTGTGATGCGAGATGAAGTTTGTGCGTGACACTATCACCTCCAGCACCGGACCCCTGCCCTCACCTGCCTCACAAACACACACTATCACCTCCAGCACCGGCCCCCGGCCCTCACCTGCCTCACAAACACACACTATCACCTCCAGCACCGGCCCCCGGCCCTCACCTGCCTCACAAACACACACTATCACCTCCAGCACCGGCCCCCGGCCCTCACCTGCCTCACAAACACACACTATCACCTCCAGCACCGGCCCCCGGCCCTCACCTGCCTCACAAACACACACTATCACCTCTGTCTCTTATACACATCTAGATGTGTATAAGAGACAGCACTAGCACGGCACACCAGCACCAGCACGGCACACCAGCACGACGTACCAGCACCAGCACGACATACCAGCACCAGCACGGCACACCAGCACCAGCACACGGCACACCAGCACGACGTACCAGCACCAGCACGGCACACCAGCACCAGCACGGCACATCAGCACCAGCACGGCACACCAGCACCAGCACGACATACCACCACCAGCACGGCACACCAGCACCAGCACACGGCACACCAGCACGACGTACCACCACCAGCACGGCACACCAGCACCAGCACACTACCACATGTCGACACACTCCACTTGGAAGAATGCAAATGAAAGTTCCAAGGTATATAATTAAACGATGATAGGTCGCCGTACAAATATTGTCCAAACTCGCACCAAAGAGCGCCCAACCTATTAATGAAACACTGAACTACTAACAACTTCCACTCAAAGTTAGTATGAATGTTCGAGTTTTCAGATACTTTCAACAAACTTTACTTTGATAAAAAGTAACTCTACCCAGACAGATTGTCTAGGTTGAGTTTACTTCACCCAACATCACACACCCGTCCTACGCACTGCACCCACCATCTGTCACCCATCCTCCTCACTGCACCCCACCATCTCTGTCACCCATCCTCCTCACTGCACCCCACCATCTCTGTCACCCATCCTCCTCACTGCACCCCACCATCTCTGTCACCCACCCTCCTCACTGCACCCCACCATCTCTGTCACCCACCCTCCTCACCCCTCTCACCAGCACACTCCACTCACAGCTCTCTCCCTAGCCCAGGTGGAGAGAAGAAGAGCACCCACCCTCCTCACTGCCCCCACCATCTCTGTCACCCACCCTCCTCACTGCACCCCACCATCTCTGTCACCCACCCGTCAAACCCCTCTCACCAGCACACTCCACTCACAGCTCTCTCCCTAGCCCAGGTGGAGAGAAGAAGAGCATTTAGAACTGCAATAAGAAGAGCATTTTGATTCAAGTGGAGTTCTAGCCCCTGTTCAGTTCAGTTCAGTTCTCTCCGCGCCATAAGGCGCACAAGGCTTGGACGTCACTCCTCCACTGGGTCCGGTTTGCAGCTGCCTGCCGTGCTATGTTCCACGAGTTCCAGCCTGCTCAGTTTCTCTCCTCTTCTACCATTCGCCTCCAAGTTGTTTTTGGGCGTCCTCTCTTCCTCCTTCCTTCAGGTGCCCACCCGAGGGCCACAGCACAGTCGCTTGCTCTGTCCTTCCTCAACACATGTCCCACCCAGTTCCCCCTCCGTCTCCTCACCACATCACTGATTTTCTCCACTTCTGTCATATCAAGAACTGACTTGATTGAGATGTGTTGCTGCCATCGGATCTTGAAAATCTTCCGTAAGCATTCTAGTCTTCTCTCGTCTCCCTTGGTTAGTTTCCAGGTCTCACATCCGTATAACAAAACTGCAAGGACCAAGCTCTTGAACAGGGATGCGTGTCCTCACCACTGAGGCGCAGCATGATGCGTGTCCTCATCACTGAGGCGCAGCATGATGCGTGTCCTCACCACTGAGGCGCAGCATGA